GTTGTGCCTGCAACAGTGTCTTAAATTTATCCTGCACATGTTAAGGATGCACATAGCTCAGTTGCCTACAGAATTAAATTAATTACATCTTGGCTTATGTATCCTGTGAGCATAGCACATAAAAATGCTATAAAAACAAATATTTGAAAGCCTCACTAAGCAAAATTGTAATCGATTGCGGTTTGCCAGAACACAGTGTTACTTTAAAGGAAAGTTTCTATTAAGTTTTCCAATCCGTTCAATAATGTGTTACTTGGTGTATAAGACTTTAAAACAGGAAAGGGGTAAACTCACATTTTTCAATTTAGACAGATAATTCTAAAGTCTTCCTTATATCATGTTCAAGGACAAAATTTCTTTGGAGGTTCACCAAGTCTTTGAATCTGGGATCAGCAGTGTAAGTCTCAGCTATGGATGAATGTCTAAGCAGGCCTGAGGTGCTCCTCTGCTTCGATTAGACTGCCATATCCTATGCACGTGTCATTTAATAGACTAAATAATTATTTTTCCAGTTGAACAGAACAGAATGGAATTATTCTTTCTAAATTATTCCTCCCTCCACCCCATCTTGGCCTTGTGTTCCATAACTAGAAAAGAAAATAAAGGCTAGGGCCACAATTCAAAGACTGAGCACAGCAGGCTGACTGCCCATGCAAATATCAACAAACCATGGCATTTCAGTAATCATAGAATTTTCCCCAAAATTGCTCCTAATTTCAGCGCAAATGATAATGTGGATGAATACAACACAAGCYGATTTTATTAGTCCTCTGTGTGAAAAGATGGATGCAGAGGACAGGACAAGACATAAAAATCTTTTAGAAGTTTTAAACATTTGGAAAAATGTTTTAAAAATTGCTATTTAATGTCAAACACAGTCAGAACATTGGGGCACWTTCTCAAGGCCCTCAAGCCCTTGTATCTGTGAGGCTGCTGCAATACATGTGGAGAGCACAAGCGAAAGCTGGAAGAACTTTACACTGATTTTACACATCTCCAGTTCACCAAACAAAGTCCAATTTAAGAGAGAGAAGTGTCATCAAGATGCCAAAGGAAGCTTGTTAAAACATGGAGATTAGAACATGAATGTCACATGAGCTTGATATCACAGATGCCTGTGCCCCACTAGTGAGTGGGGACAAGTTCAATAAGTCCTTCCTAGGAATGAAAGCAGAATGGAGTTGGAAAGGCCCCGTCTTTATGGGCAGAAGGACAAAGCAGCAAAAATTTCCAAAAAAAAAAATTAAAAAAATAAAAAAAATAAAAAAAAAAATAAAAATAAAAGAGCTCCCCAGCACAAGAAAGATCTTTCTTGACCCTCTTTTTGCATGCTTTGGAGTGAGGTAAAAGAATGAATAATGAAACAACACCTCAATCACATTAAAAATGAGAAATATAYGTCAATTTTGTTGTTCCTTTTTAATATTACTTTTATTCAATATATTTTTAAGAGAAGTGTTATGCCACTGTAAATATTTACTCTTAAGTTTGTTGCAATTATCTCCTCTGTCATTTTATTGGATGAGACTTATCTCATAAAATTCACCCTCCAATTCATGGACTTAAAAGATAGTTTGTGGCTTTTTATATTAGCAAAAATGATCCTCAAAGGAAAAGTAATACCCCAGTGATTAAACCTTTTCAAAGCACACACTGGAGAAAAAWWTTGCAAAGAAAAGTATGTCAATATCTCTAATCTTAGATAACATTTRTTTTCAAGGTGGGAAAATAGACACCACAGGTAAAAGCCAAAGACCCTTTGAAATGAATCTAARTAATTTTCTCATACAGGTAGTTGGATAAGAAATAGAAAGAAACTAAGTATTCTGTTAAAGTCTGATGGGAAAACCAATGAAAAATGGCATTCAATACAGTTTTCTGAGTTTGAAAAATCTATGCCACGTAATTTTCATGGAACTCACAMAGAATCAAAGGTTTTAAGAGTTAAATGAATGCATTTGGACTTACTGGACACACGGTAATGCTCTGCTCCCATTGACTCATGCTCAGACTTTCTTCCAGCGTYGTGCACTTCTTCATCACCATGTCCCAGCCACAATAAGGGTCTTGGGATCCAATGCATGCACTGTGGATGAAAACCAAGATAACTCAGATATTTATTCTTGTTTGTACTGACCAAAGATCTCTAAACGACTAAGTAATATCTCTTCATATTTCATAGGCAGATAGTGAAACTGATCCATGTTGCGGTACAGCACAGACAAAATGACCAGACCAGAAGAAAAATTGATTTGAATGCCTACACAAAGCTAGGATTTTTTTAACTGCATAGCTGAATTTCTGTCTGCATGCATGCAGTGTTACTGAGGCTGATTATTGTATTTCTTTACTGCAGAATTACAGCAAATCATAAAAAGCGTATATTGTCTGCTCCAAGTAAAGATTTCAGGAGTAACTGTTCCTAGTCTTTTCTAACAGTTTYGGAATTATAAATATCATCTTCATCAGAAATCAGAGGACAATGTCTTCTCTTTGAAAATTAATTAGGAAACCTTCTGATCTATTTTCTGCAGTGGTATAAAATCTCCAGAAGTTCAAAGGGTAACTGGTGGCTGCCATCACACCTCTCACATATCACAAGCTGCCCTCAACATACTCTCTTAGTGGCACATGGTTTAGGGAAAGAAAAGAATCAGGGAGAAAGATGGTAGCCCAGTTTCATACAAATCCAAAAGGCCCACTCTACAAAGCTAGAAGTTAATTTCTCTACTAAATAGCATTTTTCTCTTGCTAAGGTCAAGCATCAACAGTCCAGGCAATAGGTCTGCAGCTTCACAGCTAAAGATCCATAAGAAAGGAGGTGGAACTCTCATTATGGTGAAGCATAATTAGTTTAATACTTGTAATAATGCCTATAAATTCCACATTAAAATAATACATTCAAATATTTTGTCTAAATTGTAAAAMATGTTAGACTGGTTATTTTTGTTCAACTCAAATCCATGGACATTATCATTCTCTCTTTAACTATCTCTTCCCATCACATCTGTTGGCAAAAGGGCCACAAAGATGATGAAGCAACTGGAGCATCTTTCCAATGCAGAGAGGCTGAGAGAGCTGGGAATGTTCAGCCTRGAGAAGAGAAGGCTSAGAGAGGATCTCATCCACATGTACAAAACCCTGAAGGGAGCATGCAAAGGGGATCCAGGGTCTTTCCAGTGGTGCTCAGGGACAGGACCAGAGACAATGGGCACATTGAAACACAGGAGGTTTCAGCTTCAGGAGACAATGTCACTGTAAGGGACTGAGCACTGGCACGGAGAGCCCAGAGAGCTTCTGGAGTCTCCTTCCTTGGTGATACTAAAAAAACACCCAGACAAGGCCCTAGACCACTGGTTTTGGGAGGCCCAACAAGAATTGGACTAGATGACTATTAGAGACCCCTGCCAACCTCCAATATTCTGTGATTCTGTCCTCACTAATTTTACTGATATTTCTATTTATCTTTGGCATTTCTCATGCACTTCCACGYTAACACCTGACCAAATGCAAACTTACTAATTCCCTGGTATGTTACTCCATAATACCATCACAGAGGATTCTTAGTGCTTATAAATTTCAAAGAATTCACTTCCACATTAGACTTGGAAACATGGACTGCCAGTACCATATGGGACCATAGTTCTCATCTGCAAAATGGGCACAATGTAGGAGGCACTTCATGTGTACCCCTAATTAGGTTTCCAGTTAAAAGATAAAGTTTTTGATATACAAAAGTCACTGTTCAGAAAAGAGTACCTACTGATGACTCTTGCAGCAGTGAGCACTTAGTATTTTTTTAACTCAGGCCATACATGCTTCCATTTAATTGTCTAGAAAGTGAGAAGGAATATTAATGCAAATTATGGAAAATTTTAAGTGTCTTGGTGTAGCAGTGTTTGCAAGACATGATGTCCAGTGTTCACCTTCAGAATATATCTGATAAAGCTTGTGTTTTATGAGAAAAGAGTACAAAAAYAAATTAAAGGCTGACCTAATGCACAACTGTCAATGTTAGCAATGCTCACACTRAAATGAGCACTTGTGCCTCAAAGCAGAAATCTTCACTCTTCTAACTTCMAAGTGTTCACATTTCTAAATATGGTTATTACACTTTAGAAGCTTGTTATTAAAAACAAAAGTGTTCTTAAGTCAGTATCCTTTCACTTAGAACCATACTCCCTCTTTTGTSGGAGTCAAGCTGATCTTTCTCCCACTCTGCTCTTAGACCTCATTTCCTCTTTTGCTTTTATTTTCCTGTTACCTTCCATTCAGGCAAATCAAAAGGGCTTGTACTTTTCATTAYAACTTACTCAGAAGTTTTAAGTAGGGTGCTAGAAACATATTTTGGCTGTCCTTAGAATTTTCTGGTATCAGAACAGATCCTAGTTTAATGGAAAAAAAATAGCTCTTGTACTGCTAGGGCAAAGCATGTTCGAACACTGTGTGAACACTGAACATGGTCATTTCAGCAGCTGACCAGACCTGGAGTGCTCTGCAGCAAGGTAAAATGAGGGGAATCTTTCCAGAATTTAGTTAAGAGCCACTGAGCATATGAAAACTATGACTTTAAGAAGTTCATAACTCAGCTAACTTCATGCACATGGCAGGAGGATAACTTCCTCCATGAATAAGAGGCATTCACAGTCTTCAGTAACTATTTTCTTTACACTACAACCCAGAAATTAATCCTCTAAACATATAAATTATTCCAAACAAAGCAACAAGAAATTCTGTCAGAGAAATATTGCTCACATGAGAAACTCTAGTTTTGCTGCTTTTTTTTTTTTTACTAACATGCTAGATCACTGTTCTAGTTATTATACCTGTCTCCTATTGTAAAAAGTTTAAATTTTTAAATCTTATATTCAGACCAAAAAAAACCGCACAACAAAATCATAGTTAATCAACCTCTTGCAGTTCACTGTATCAGACATATTCATGAAATGGAGCAGGAAGTGGTTTAACAGGCTGCCCTGTTCTCAAGTATTGGCAAAACAATTATTTCCTCTTTTCCACCCTGCCTCATATCTCAGAGTGTTTTCTTATTTATTTCTTTTAGATCACAAATATCTCTGAAAAGTGGTTATAGTTTCTTTAAAATTAAAAGAAGGAAGGTAATATGTGGGTAAAGTTTTATCCTTACTGCTTAATTATGTCACCTTTCCAAACCATTTTCTTTCCTTTGAGGAATGATTTAATGCATGAGTAACAGCAGCTAATTATTTTTATCTACTATGCCTTGATAAAACAAAGAAACAGATAACAAAATARGTTAACAGATAAAAAGTCAGATAGAATGAAGCTTGAAAGTATGAAAATATCAGAGCTTCCATCTGAAATGTGGAATTTAAAGGGACTATTCTTAACTCACAATTATGTGTCCTTAAGAAAATTTTATACTTATTTAACTCCTTTTTAATCAATCTCTCTACCAAGAGACAGCAGTAAGAGGAACAGTTACAAATTGTACATGAAATAACAAAAAAAAAAAAAAAAAA